CATGTCATTACTGCGATTACACTGTGATTGCTGTGATACAGAAAGAAAAATACTACAACCTGGACCTTATTGTTGTCATAGAATCACACAGAATGGCTGAGGCACAAAGGCACCTCTGAAGATGATCTAATCCAAGAGCAAGGTCAGCAGGAGTAGGTTGATTAGGGCTGTGTCCAGTTAGTTTTTGAGTATCTTCAAGGATAGAGACTACAAACTCTGGGCAGAACCTGTTCCAGCATTTATTTGACCATTCTCAAAACAAAACAAAACAAAACAAAACAAAAACAAACAAACAAACAAACACAAAAACACCCACCACTTTCCTTCTTGTTTTTAAATGGTACGTCCTGTATTTCAGTTTGTGGCCATTACCTCTTGTCCTGTCATGGGAGACCACTTAGAAGAACATGGCTCCCTCTTCTTTACTCCCCAGTGAGGTATTTATACACATGGGTAAAATTCCCTCGAGCCTTCTATGGTCCAGGCTAAAGAGCCCCAGCTGTCTCAGCCTCTCCTCATCAGACAGATGATCCAAACCTTTAATTGTCTTGGACTTCATTGGACTCACTGCAGTACATGTCCATGTTCTTTCCTGTACTGGGGAGCGTAGCATTGGAACTGGAACACCAGATGCATCTCTCCAGGGAAAGATCTCCTCCCTCCCTCAACCTGTTGGCAATGCTTTGCCTAAAGCAGCTAAAGAGATTGTTGGACTTATTGCTGCAAGGGAGTATTTCTGGCTCACGGACATTTTGTTATCCACCAGAACAGGTCCCAAGGCCTTTTCTGCAAACCTGTCTTCCAACTGTAATAAATGACTGAGTCCAAAATAGGATTGCAATTACAGTTTACAATTTATTAAATGAATAGAGGCAAGCAAACAGTGCTGGGTGCGCCGGGAGTCTCCGCTCCACATAGATGAACACAAGTTATGTCAGGTGGCTGGTTTTTATTTTCCTAGGCTAATACATATTCATCACCACTTTTGGAAAAGGAAGGGTTATTATAATTAGTTTCCCGGGACCTGAACCATCCCACAGATGCATGCGTACCAGTCTCATAGTCTTCCTCTCAGGCTTTGTCCTTCGGTCGTTCTTCAGCTTTCCCCCTCTCCTTATTTAGTAGTCTCTGGGCCAGATGTCAGAAAGTTGTGTCTCATGAAATAGTCTGCAGTTATCTCAAAAAACTGCCCCCTATTCTCTTATCTCCCAGACCCAAGTCTCAAGGTTTACCCTTCAAACCCTCTATCAACACGGACTGCTAGACCATTCTTTTGCAAGATACAAGAACTATATACACTAACCACTCTGTTTCTCTTGGACTTGTGGTTATACAAAGGTATGTAAGACAGAAGGTCACATTTCATCATGAGGCCCTAGCATTGTTCCATATTGACACGAATCAGATGAACATATTTCACACAACCAGTCAGGCCTCATCCCGTACTGGTACCCAGGGAGCTATTCCTCCTCATGTACAGGACTTTTGAACATCTTGAAGTTCTGCATTTTGAACATCTTGAAGTTCTTGTCCATCTATTTCTCTAGCCTGCCAATGGCCCTCTGAAGGACAGCACATTCTATCTAGCACTCCCTACGTTCAGACCTCCTTCTGGCTTTTCTTGATTTCTTTCTCATGCAAATGGACCATTCTTGAGTTCAGAGTAAGTGAATCAGCCAGCTCTCCTTATCTCCTCTCATTCCCAGGACAGTATCCCATGGAATTCTTAAAAGCAGGTTCCTCAACAGGCCAAAAATCTTCTCTTTTGAAGGGCTGCAGGTTGGCTCATTTGCGTATCTCAGGATCCTGTACTGCAGCTGAGCCTGCTCCTAGTCTTCAGACCCCTGACTAGTTGGCAAGAGTCAGGTCCAGCAGAGCCTGTGCCCTCATCAGCTCCCCAGTCACCTGTGTCAGGAAGTTGTCAATGCACTCCAAAACCCAACTTTTCACATATTTTTTTAGTGTCCATCTCTTTTATATACCTGTACCTCCACCCTGTCTGTGCTGTGCTATTAGGTAGTGTTTGTGATAATGAACATCCCATGTAAGGAAAGAGTATCTGGATTTCAGTGGCCAGTATTTGCTTTTTACAGTTGAAATACCAGAACTGTGAGATACAACATAAGAGTGATGGATATAGAAATTAATCTTTGGTTATAGAGAAGGACTTTTAGACTAGGCTTATCTTCCATCATTTAACTCATGCTTCTATTGATCTAGCTTTCTATGGATGCACGTAGTATGGTAAATACAATAAAAAATTAAGCTGATCTTGTCTGTATTTCATCTTTTTTGTCCATAAATTGATGATGCTGATAATGCTTAGCCAGCCACTCAGTGTGCATGTAAGTGTAACATATGATACTGTGGTCTAATTACTTTGCTGGCATGAGTTTAGAATTCCTTCATTACTCTTATGACAAGGCTACAAATCAGATGTGCCAGGTTCTCCCAAATGAATGCCAATAAAAACCTGTTATGAATCTCAAGGATGGATTATCTGTGACAGGATGATTGAGCAATAGCCAGAGGATGGCTGAATAAGACTAGCTCTTGGAAAATCAGCTCAAAGATCAGATCAGTTTGATGGCTGAATTTTAATTAGGAATCCTGAGTGTTTTCACTAGAACTTTGTTTGAACTATGCGCTTGCATGACCTGATTCAATTACATGTGAATTATGAAAATTCCAGTTTAGATTAATTTTAGTCTTATTAGAAATGAATGATGAATATTAGAATGATAAATATTATCAAATCTAGGGTCTCCATTGACAGAGAATCTAAAGAAGAATTTGCATTTGAGGATTATACTATTTCAGCTGTGTTGGTGAGAGCTTATTTCTTAATCAGGGCAAATCCTGCTGTCAGATTCTCTTGCATTACCATCATGTGTGTCCATGTGGTAAATGGTAATGGTATATTAAATGGTAAACTAAATTTCAAGATGTTTCTGAAATAAAACTGAACTACTGCTGAGTCTGAAACATGGAGAGAACTAAGAATTCTAGAAAGTTGTGCAGATGTGGAGATCTGGATGTGGAATCTGAGCTTCTTGAAATCCAGATCCAAGCTTTTCATTTTGAACCATCTCTGAACAAAGCAAAGTAACAGTAGTTTTAGCTTGAAGCTCTAATAATGTGAGATGAAAGAATTTCTAAGATTATAGGCAGGCATTATTTTTCACCATTCAGACTTAACTGGATCAATACTTCTTTTTTAAATTACATTTTCCATATAAGAGGGAGACTGCCACTTCTCATTAGTTGAATTAATACTAAGTGCTCCCAAGTTTCAGAATGAAATTATTGCATTAAACTAATGTGTGATTGAAAATAGTTAAAATTATATTGATTTAAGCTGTAGCTCTGAGAATGGAATTTGCAAGTTTGGCAGGTTTATAAAATGGAACCTTTTAATAAATCTAGAAATATTAGTTACTCTATGAAGCTGAGCATTTCACTATTCCATGCTGCATTTAGTTATAAGAGGAACAGAAGCACTGACAATTTAAAAATGCTCCAAATTCATAAAGATACATTTATTCTTTTGCAGTTTATATCCTCTATATGCAGGAATGTATTTCTAGGATAAAATTGGAAGCAGTCAAGCAATTTACTTTAGATCTGAATATAACGACTATATCAAATGTGAGAAGAAAAATTAAATCATGAATCCTGGAACATGTGTGTCACTCTGATTAGATTGGATGTGGACATAGAAGGACCACGTCTGGATTTCACTTTCCAGAACCAACTATTAAGTTCTCATATAAGAGAAATAATTTTGAAATATAAAAGGGCTTATTTTTTCTCAACTTTCCCTCCTCCCTTTCCTAAAATTTGGTCTGAAGAGGCTTAGTTCTGTTCAAGTTGAAGGGTTTCAGGTGTTTCTGTTTGTTTGTTTGTTTGTTTGTTTGTTTACAGTCATGGTTTTGTTTTATTTTCCATTACTATGGATCTCAATGTACAGTTCCTCCCCCTCTGTTTCATGATTTGGCTATCTCAGACTGTATAAATTAGTACAAACAGTGGGTCGAGATTTTTCAGTGAAGACATTTTTGCTGATTAGGGAGTGAGTAAGTTTCCAGTCTCAGACTCAGATTGTGTGGTATATATCTTTTTTTCTCATAAGAGTTCTAGTGTTCTTTATTCTTTTAAAAGAGCACACATAACTTCACATGTAGCATCTTATGTTCTGTCCTTGAAAGGGAGGTCTCCTTATGGAAAATCTTCTCTTGATAATTGCAAGGGTCTGGTCTGATGGTTTTATCCTCAACTGAGAGAGAGTTTTAAGTCTAAAGGTCTGAGAATAGATAAGTAAATATCTGAATTGCAAAATGAACTGTATAGCTGGTCAACATCACCGTTAGGGTTTTAAGGACAAAAAATTATTCTTTGTACTTGTTCAAAACAAAGAATTCCAAAACAGGTAATATATACTATTTTCAAAGGGGAAAGGTTAAAGTATTTAAATCTTTGCAACTTGGTATAGCTTTATCTTTTGAATTTCTTTTCTGCTCCACCAACTCATATTTAATGGGATTGAGAAAAAAAATATATCTTTTTTTCTTCTTGAACTACACTCACAATGGACAGATTCTTTCTCTTTCATTGCTAAGGCAAGAACAAATACTAACCTAAGATAATTAAAAGGTCAGGTCTTTTAAAGAGACAAAGTAATATTTAGGTTGAACCTCTCCAAAACTCCAAACTATTCTTCCCTGGTAATAGTGTTAAATATTGGAAGTGCAGTATGATGTTAGCTTCTCTTATGATTCAGAGATAGAAGTTGTGTTCCTTTTTTATTAAGAATGTGTGGGTAGTTAGGGTCTGGCGGCCGGAAGATGTGGCGCTGTACGGAAAGGTGGAGCCCCTCCCTTGATGGACAGTAGCGTGTGGCCTGTGATTTAAGCAAGCGGAAGTGACGCTATGGGCCTCGGGTATATAAGCCCATGTGACTCGACAATAACCGCCATTTGCCATCCACCACATTGGTGTCTGTGAGCCGATGGACCGAGCGGCCTGGGGTTGGCCACTGTGCCGTTCCTGAACCAGGTCGCCCCTGCCCCCTGAAGGCAACAGAATGCATTTAGATGAAACCTTAAATGAAGGCGTAGTTCTGTATTGCCTGACTTGCCTTTTTCTCCCTATGTAAAATACTTCTAATATTTATATTAAATCATGAGCAGTTTAAGTGATCTTAAATGTACAAATAATGAGACATCTGTCTGTCTTAAGAACAGACAAGCAGTTTTCAACAAATGCCAGTCATTGTATTCATTGTCACCAATAATGCCAAATCACAGAAAAGGACATGCCAGAAATGAGTAAAAAACAATAGGAAATGAACAGTGCATTACTTCATTTGATATCGTATATCATCAGACTGATGTATAAATATTGGGAAAGCACAGGAAAAATGATTATCTAGATTACTTGTTCTGGTTTTACATCTGAGGAAAAAATCGGAACTTCTGTATGTGAGTCTGTGAAGAACCATTTTAACTGCTTGGTACTGTACAGCCCAATATGTATGAAAAGGGGGTAAATATGATCCATTATGTTTATGCACAATGGTATTATTTTATACATGATAATAGTACATGAACTATTAGATATAAAAATGGGGGGCTCAGTGATAAACATGTGAGCATCTAGGCCTAATTCTAAAGTATCTTTTATAATAGTGGAATCTAGAAACCACATCTGAAGCTCTTATAGATATTTCTATCTCTATAGAGGCAGCCTAAATGTTACAAATAATGGCAGTCTTCATTGCATGTTACTCTTTATCCAAACAAGAAATCTCAATCCCATGTTCTCAAAAAAAAAAAAAAAATCTTGTCATCCCTGCTTAACCTCCATTATAAATTTCAACAGTTTGGCTGTCTTCCCTGAAGCCTAAAAGCTGTCACATGGTTGTCATAAACTGGAACATCTGATGGTCATAGCTATTGCAGTGGATGAGGTCTTGGACCAAGAGGTAAGGAGAATAAAAAATCTTGACACTTATTTTATGAGTGCTGTGTCTAGAACAATCCTGTATATGTCTAAAAGTCTGAGGTTTATCATATAGCATTGCCATTATGTCAATTTTCACATGTATGCCTTCAAAAATTTTAAGAAAGACTGATTAAACTAAAAAATCAGTTATAGTTCTCCAAAACATCATGTTTGTTACTATTGACAATGTACCGATTGCCCTCTATTCTCAAGAAGAAACTCTTTAAATGACCTAATATTTTTGTAAGGAAATGAGTGTCATGAAAAACGAATAGTATCTTGCTAAAACTGCTACAAAAAATAAAGAATTCAAGTGATTTCAGTGAACTCAAGTGAACTGGTCCTAATTACATACATTCAGTTTGAATTTCAAATGTGTAAAACCATAGGAAATCAAAAGCATATTTTGGAACGTATTTGGTACATTAGAGAACAGAGAGAATAAAAATCTCTCAGAGGAAAAAGTAGGCTACTAATATATTAAACAGAATGAGAAGTATAAAACTGGCAGGCAAAAAACCTCCCTCTCTTTACCCTGTCTGTTCCCCTTGAGGTCTGCTTTAAAAAGTGTTATACCAGAAGTAATACTATGCTTAAACAAAATAATTCTGAACATTTTAAACTTGATTTAATCTAATTCTAAAATAAAAGTATGAGTAAGGCAAAATAAAATTTTACTTAGATGTTTGAGTTTAGCAATGTAACAGCAAAACTTACTTAAAATTCTATTGAAATACGATGGAAAAAATGCTCATTCTTCCTTCTGCTGTCCAAAGAAGGAATTTTCTATTTCGTTGTCCCCTTTTAAAACAAAATCTGTTCCATTGCTAGATGTTGTGCACTTCAAAGGATGGAATGTCCTGCTTTCATCTCTCCATCCAGGAGAGAAGAGGGCCATTACACTTCTTTTGTTCACTAAGTTTAAGTGCAATGTATGTCAGTAAATGCTGACACTTTCTCAACAGCATATGAGGTACAAAGCCCTACTCTGTAGGCTCAAGCAGCCTTTTTTGATTTAAGCCAAGTACCCAGGTCTAACTGCTTTCTCTCTATCTGAATCAAGAAGGAAGGCAAGAGTTGTAACAATAGTCATTACTCTTTTGTGCCATCTTGTGTTCCCTTTCTTTTTTAATGGCATTCACATATGAACAAACAATTTTCTTTCAGTGCCATGGAAAAAAAAGGACAACCTTTAAACAGAATGCTGTTCTTTCTGTTCTGTTCTCCATACCACATACAACCACACAATGAGGTATGTATGATTGTATGATTCCAAGGCTGTAGCAGTACATATTTACAGAATATAAATATCTACCAAATGCCCCACAACATTTAACTTTGGAGGTAAGCCATAGGGACAGATTCAAAAGATAAATCAGTGATCAGAACTGTTTTGAAATAACCATTTTCCAGGGATTTCTTAGTTTTCACATTCCCACATCTATGTAATACTGGGAAAAAATGTATAGGAAGGACAGCTTTTAGCCTGTTCTGACAGTAATCTAGTATAATGCAACTACTGAGAAATGTTTGTATTCCAATATGGAATAAAAACAATGTAGGTACCTCAAAATTCCATTAAAAAAGGAGTTGACGTTATCTAGATATAGTTAAAATCCAGTTCCCTCAAGGGCAGGTAGGATGAAAAAGAGTAATATCTATTTTTGTTTTGACAGCACATCTTGTTTTGAAACAAATAAATGAATTTTTCATAGCCATTTCAGGTTTAGGAACCAGAGAGAGTTATAGTCCAAGTAAAATCTAAACGAACAGCTCACCAGTAACATCCATATTCCCATTTCAGATATGGTTATTTTCTTGTGTTATTATTTACATTCTCTACAGCTACTTTAAAAATGGATAGTTGATGAGAGCAGTATTAATTACTTTTACTTCTTTGACATTATTTGCTGGGGAGTAGGAAATAAGAAAACCTTACTGGGAGTTTTAAAGGGAAATATATTCTCTGTAGTAAATGCCTCTCTCTTCTCCTAAGACTTTAAAGCTGAGCTCCAAAAAACTTAGTAAGGCAAGTACTTACCATTCAACAAAGAAGTTCTAAATGCATTGTGTTAGTGGCACTTGTGGCAGTGGTACATCTTTATATTGGATCTTTGTTAACTTATGAACTTGAAAAAAAATGTCATTTTATTTCCCAGAACATAATATGGCCTTTTACTGTCTCAATCTAAAGATTTCAGCCCTTTTATGTAAGAGAAAATATGCCAGTCTACAAATATCAATGCTATTATGTCACGATTAACGGTTCAAGATTCTTTCTTTAATTTTTAAAATTATCACAAAATGTGATTTAACAAAAACAATATAAACCATACAAGACATTCTTCTGCTCAAATATTAGTATTACGTACAATTAACTAGTTGCCAACTCTGTGCTGAAATTGGCAGTAACTATGCTGACAATCTCAGAATTTCCTTTCAGACTGCTAGTTTAAATCACCTTCCTGGTAGCTAAATGCTAAATAGCATCTTGTCTTTCAACATATCTGTGCTGCTGCTATTATAAAAATGTTCATTTTGATAAAGTTTTTTTTTTTTTTTTTTTTTTTCCTGGTAAGGACTCAAGAATTCCAATTATGAGATGTTACAGTGAGATACAGAATTCCAATTCTGCAGATGGAGTTAATCCAAATTAATAAAATGCAGCTGAGTGAAACCACCAGCTAAATATAGGAATCTATATAATTGGAGATACTTTAATAAAGATAATTTTTAAATGCTGCTATGGGGATTTGGAAATGCAATTAATTCAAGGACAACAAATAGATGGAAAACTTCTGGAATGAAGTTTTCCAGAAGTTTTCCAGAAGAAAGAGCTGGTTCTGGTTTAGGGGTTTCTTCAAAGACATTTACCTGCTTTAAATTAAATAAATATTACCTATAAATTTTCATTGGACTTTGTAGCAATATAAGATTTGCTCACATGTTATGGCTACATGAAAACAAAACAAAAAAACAAATGAACACAGAAAAATCCAAGCTTTAGCCTGTACTAATAATATGTGACAGTTTGTTTTTTTTTAATTGCCATGTTTTACATTTACTCTACATTCACAGATGCTGGGGAGGCAGGGGTGAGCACTGTTCTGCAGATAGTTCTGCATAGGATCACTCTTCACACGCAGAAGTCTAATTCTCTCCTTGGACTGAATAATAATAGTAATACACTGAAACAGTGACAAAACACAAAGTAACCTAATGACAAATGAACTTGTGACTGTCCATCCAGATTCATAATATAGTTGCTGAGTTCATTCAAAACATGAAAGATCAAGTCAGAAGAATATCGATTTCAGTGGAGTTTAGGAGTAGGCTTCTACTGTAAAGATATTATCTTGGATGACTTGAAGGGAAGAAAGCTCTTGTCACAACAGACTGCCACAGTTTATGTTCACAGAGCCCAAACGCATTCACTTCATTCACTAGAGTCTAGTAAATAGATACTACCACATTTGGAGAATACTTGATGAAATTATCATTAAACATAAAATTTGCTGGAATACACATTATTAGTATATATAAAAAAAAAAGACACATAAATATATGACAATATAAAGATTAGAAAAAAAGACTGTGCTGTCCGCTTATGTGTTTGCTGGCAGCTGTTTTAACTGAGTTAAGTTTCAATTTTAACAACAGTGCCTGTTAGAAAATCACTAAAGGCATAATTCAAAATTACTGTCCTACACAAACTTTTTATTGATTTTTTGAAGCTTTTAAAATACAGCAGAGACAATGTGATTATCATAAAATGTGATTTAACAAACAAACAAAAAAAAAACAACAAAGTACAAGCCATTCTTCTATGTAAATATAAATATGTACAGTTAACTAATTTCTAATTTATAACTGTGCTGAAAACTTCAGAAATTCCTTTCACACTGTTAGTTTAAAGGACCTTTCGAGGTTTAAATAACATCTTGTCTTTCAACATGCATACACTACTGTACATATACTACTATACGTGAATATTTTGTTATAGCTGTTAGACAGCATTAGATGGTGTTTGGGTTTTTAACACGATTTACATCACTAGTACTTACAATCAGTGTGAGAACACTGACCACTCATCATATCTAGGAAGAAATCCATAAATGGATATAATGGCATTATTTACTAATTCTTAAGACAGTGAATGCCTAAGGAGATATCAGGAGAAAAGCCAAAAGAGTTAAATATGTAGATAGGTCTCTGCAGAGAAAGGTCTCTGCAGAGGGTGATTTACCAGTTGCACAGTGATGCTTGCCATACCCAATCCTGAGTCAATCATGTTCTACACCAGTTACTTGCAAAATGCAATACTGAGTATTGATCTTTTTATAGATAAAGGCATGAGTACAAGATAGAAGCAGCCTGTGGCAAATAGGGAATTAAGAATGTCAAATTAATAGAAAATGTATATGTGCTAATTTTAACAGCCATAGTCTTGCTAGGAGAGAGTGATGATGATCATTACCTTGAAGTAGAAATTTGTTTTTTATTGCTTGTATTTTTTTTTTTTCAAGATGCCAACACAGCTTCGCATATGGTATAATTAGGGGACAGATCATATGAACTGAGGTTAAAATGTTGATTGAAGGATGTGAACATTCAAGTCTTCTTAGAATCTTGTTTGCTTATCACCAGCTACCTGTACTGGACACACACAGCCTGTGGGAACATACAGCTGACAAGAAGTCTGAAATGTAGAGGCAGGGAAGAATTTAGACTTAGATATCAGCTTAAAAAGTGCTGCTCTTGTTAAATGAGTAATACAGATAATATTTACTAGAAAAAAATAATAATAAAAACATGCATTTCCTTATCTGACAGGTAAGACAGAATGTGGTGGATACCTTTTCTACCTGCCTTCCACAGTACCACTTTCAAAGCAACTTGTAAAACAGAAAAATGCATGAGATGACTCATCTATCAAAATTTCATTTGGTATCTCAGATCAATGGTGCGCTTAATGCATCTAGAATCATAGATAACATCATTTTAATTAAAAATGCTAGCTGAGTAATTACTTTTTAAGCATATGGCCACAGATAAGAAAATGGGATGACACTTAAATTGGGTTTGTAAGAAAATGAATTTGCATTAAAAAGTAGCTATTAGCCATTTCAATTGCAATGTGGGAGATCAAGGGTATGGATCTTTGCTCCCTAGATTGGGAAACCTTTTTAATGAGAGGTGATGTATTTGGGCTTTAAGGCCAATGGGGTCACAGTGATTTTTCTCATTTTGGTGTCAGTTTAATTGGTGTCAACACACAGAGTAGCATTTGTTCCTTTTCTATAGTAGCAGACAAGTGACCCCTTCTCAAATGACAGGAAAATGCCATGGACTTAGTTTTGTTCTAGAAATATAATTATGAGTCTAACTGAAGCCAGTTGGCAGTCAAGATTGTAGGTGAAGGAACTGTTTAATTTGGGTTTTGTGATTTATTTTTTAAATGAAATATTATTCCAGTTAATGTTTCAATGTAGTAAGGTTTGGATGAATATAAAATGAGAAAGGAAGCACAGGCAACTCTTCCTGATGTCTCGTTACAACATTTCTCATTCATGACATTAACTTTTTTTCCAAGTGAAAGCTTCTCTATTAATATCCGTTAAAATTACTTTGATTAATTTTTGGTATATTCACACATAAATTATTCAATTATTTTATTCATTCTTTGCTCAGCTAATGTCCAAATTTTCAAACCAACTGCATGAAGATAAATCCTTATGAGGGCACCAGAATGAAAATGGCATGTTACTTTTCCAAAATTACTTACTTCCATTCATTTGTTCTTTCTGGAATTACTTTTTTTTTTTTTTTTTTTTTTAATATAATCTTCTAACAGTGAGTGGGAACTGAAAACGCTTGCTGCAAGCCCGAAATCTTATTTCTTGGTAGCTTTTCTCTGCAATAATTTAATTTATTTAAATTATTTAAAAGTCTGAATTATTTTAAAAAATGTTTTTCAGCGTAATTTCTGGGCTCATTTTAGTTCATATTCACATGTTCTATGATAAATCCTATTCTGATTCTGTGTGGATGAGAAAGAGTGCTATCACTCTCATTTCTCAAAAACAAACAAACAAACAAACAAACTAAACACAAAAAATAAAAATAAAAATCCAGATTTAAAAAGTAGCAAAACTTCCCAGTTCCATATATAGATAAGGATATTTTAAGGATATCCTTAAGTATGAAGGATATTTTTCCAAAAGATAATTTTGGGACACTATTTCGGAACACTATGACATGCTAATTTCATTAGGTTTTGATTTACTGGAGGGCATTCCCAAGTGCTAGATTATTCAAAGCTTGTAGGACTGCTAAATCCCCCAGCTGCAAAATAAAGTTGCCAGGTGACATAAATATATCAGGACTGAGCCACTGACATGTTAATCTCCAAGGTTTTTTTGGCTAGAAGACTGGTCTTGGAAAAGCATTGAATACTAGGTTGAGGTTAGATCTGAAGTAATGTAGACCAAAACAAGATAATTTTAACTGCAGGAGAGGAGACAAAAATACTAAGTCATTGGAAGAAAGACAGTGGTTCTCTTTTTTAAAATAACGGATCTTGTGACAACTGGATCTGTCTAGAAGGTTGCAATAAATTTGCAGAACCCAGAAGATGCTCCTGAAATGCTGGCAGATTTGAGTTGTGTTGTGAATGTTGGTGAGGGGAGAATAACTATTCTCTGGGCAAATTAAAATGCTTATATGAGCTCTATATCTTCTTATATAGGATAATTAGAAGAAAAAACAAAACAAAACAAAACAAAAAACTTATTACATATGCTTAATTGTATATAACTTCTTAGAAACATTAGTAAATCATTACAGGGATACATATGAATAAGAGTGTCCAAGGGTTTTTTGTTTGTTTGTTTCTTTCTTTCTTTAGTAGCTTGTGGTAATTACCACAAGTACTTTAACTTTCTTGTCTCTCCTTTTATCATTTCATCTTTTTACTTTCTGTTCATTTCACAGATTCCACCAGGAATAACGATTATATCCATAACAGTTTATTATTGTTGAGATTGCTTTCAGTAATGAGTAACGACACTCCTGGTGCCATCCCAACAGACCTGGGTGTTTTTCTGTTCCTTACCAGGAAATTTAGATTTTGTTTCCTAGCAAATTAAAAGTTAATTGCTTTGAGCATCAGTCAATAAAATGTACAATAGATCTAATGGTTGCTGGCCTGTGAGGGTTCTGCATATCTTCTTGGCTTTGTTCTTGGCTTTTTAGATGCAGCAAATTTGTTTGTTTTCATTTCATGGAAATCTTGAAACTGCGCTGTGCAGTTTTCTTCTTGGAAGTGTTGATTTGCTCTTTTAACATATAATCAGAGTCAAGAAGGTTGGAGGAGACTTCATTTTCAGAGGTCTTCCTGTCCAGCCTCCTGCTGAGAGCAGATCAATTAGTGTGAGTTGGTAAGAGCCATGTCCAGATGAGTTATGAATATGACCAGATATGGAGACTCACAACCTTTAGAGACAGCAGTAAGATCTCTCCTGAGCTATCTGTTCTTCAGGCTGAACAAAACTGATTCTCTTTAGGAATGATGTTAGGAGGAAATTCTTCACTCAGAGGCACTGTAACAGGTTGCCTAGAGAAGTTGTGGATGCCCCGTCCCTGGATGTGTTCAAGGCCAGGTTGGATGGGGCTTTGAGCAACCTGGTTTAGTGGGAGGTGTCTCTGCCCATGACAGGGGGTTGGAACTGAATGGTCTTTAAGGTCCCTTCCAACCCAAACCATTCTATGATTTTTTGGTTCTGTGTTTCTAATTCTCTGAGTCTCTCCTCATATATTACGTGATTTCTTCCAGGATCTACATGTCTGTCATGATTGGAGAGCCCAGAAGTGGATACTGTACTGCAGGTGTGGCCTTGAAAGGACTGAATAGGGTAGAAGAATCAGAAGAATCATTTGTAGCCTACTGGCTATACTCATGATAGTGTCAGCGGCACTGACCCAATACAGTTTTATCCTTCCTTGCCACAAAAACGTGCTTATATTCAGCTTGCTTATATTCAGCTTGTCCACTAGGACCCTGTGTCTTCTGCAAAGCTGCAAAGCTGGCCCCAAGCCTGTGCTGTTGCAGGGGGTTCTTAACTTAGAGATGCAATATTTAATAGTACTTTACTTCATTTCTGTCACCCTATTTTATCAGCCTGTCAGGGTCCCAAAAAGTAACAGCCCTGCCCTTATACACCCCAGTTTTGCATTTTCAGCTTCAGATTATTCTCTTGACACCTCTAGTAACTGGTTGGCTGTTGGACTTTTTACTGCTGATTAAAAGTCTTTGAATTTGGCAGTCCAAAATGTCCTGCTTTGAATTTGGCAGTCTAATTTGTCCTGCTTCTGTAAGCAACATTCACAGCTCTTTCTTTCTCCACCAAGTCATTCACCTCATCATATAAAACTGTCAGACTAG